ATTTATGCCCTATCTTGTGTCTTTGAATCTAAGTTGTATGTTGTATAAACAACACATGGTTGGATCTTTCCTTTCTATTTGGTCTGGCAGTCTTTGCCTATTGATTGAGGTATTTACACCATATATATTTAATGTACTTATTGCTATTGTGTGAAGTTTACATTTTTCATTTCAATTTAGTTTCATATTATTCCTATCCTTTTGTTCTTTCTTGACTGCTTCTTTTGTATTAAATATACTTAGTATACACAGATTCTAATTTCTGTGTTAACCTTTTTAAAAGTGTATTTAGTCTTTCTCTTGAGAATACAATCTACATCTTAATTTACCACAAAGAGCTTCATATGAATCAACTTTAATAAAATGTAGAACATTTGCTGTAATATAGTTCCCTTCCCTTTTTCCTATTTCTGTCATATATATTAGATTTGTATATGTTGTAAACCAAACAATTAATTGATGGGCTCTCTGTCATCTATGTGTGTTACATGTATATAGAATTGAATGAGAATAAATGAGAAATAAGTTTCATAGAATCTTAATTAATCCACATAATTACCAGTTCTGGAGCTCTTTATTTTTTTATTGTATAATTGAGTTACAATTGGTGTCATTTTCTTCAGTATCTCTTTAAAGGTAATTCTGAATCTTTATTTTAATTCTTTTTAAAGGCAATGACTTTATTTTACTCCCAGTTTTAGATTGATTATTTGAATTGTATTTTTTTTTAGAATTTCTCATTCCACTATTTTCTGGTGTTCATTGTTGCCTCTGAAAAGTTAGCTATTAATCATGTTGATATTTATATTTTTATTGTGCTTTGTTCATTTGGAGGGTGATTTCCCTAAATTAAATTTTTGAAATTTGTCTCCCTTATGATGTGTGACTATTGATGTCTCTGTGTTTAAAAAACAATTTTTTTTTTTTTGATGGAGGAAAGGAGGAGATTTATACTTGGGATTGACCGCAGAGCCTTTTAAACACTTGCTTTTAGTTTTACATATGGTTTTCTAGGTTATACACAATGTCTGTGTAGTTTGATGGTATGCCTGTGGTTGGACAGTGGTTTTGCTTAAATACTTCAAGTCAGTAATTCATTCTCTGCTCATGGATCTCTGTATTGATAAGAGAAAGACATTTCAGGGCTGGGGATGTGGCTCAAGCGGTAATGTGCTCACCTGGCATGTGCGGGGCGCTTGGTTTGATCCTCAGCACCACATAAAAATAAAATAAAGATGTTGTGTCCACCGAAAACTAAAAATAAATATTAAAAATTCTTTCTCTCTCTCTCTCTTTCTCTTAAAAAAAAGAGAAAGACATTTCAGATTTCAAGTGCAGACTGTATTCAGGTGTTACTGAGCTTTTACTTTCTACTATGCCCTTTTCATCTCTGTGCATGTAATTATTCAGCCTTAGGGTTGGCCCAGAATACAAGGTCATCCTTGTTTATCTCTGTCCTCATTGCCTATGTTCTAAGTCTCAACCAAGAATATGCTTCTCTCAATTAGGATCATTCATGTTTGCCTTCTCCCAAGATCATTTATCCCACTGACCACTGCAAGGTTTGGGCATCATGCATTAAGTGTGCCCCCTTTGACCATTTCAAATAAGCTCTTCTCTGAATTAGAAGAACCTGTGCTCTGAGTAGGTTGTGGTTGGTGGTGACAAGAGTAGCCCCAGGCCAGCATATAACAAAGTCTGGCTGTTTTTACCTAACAATTAGCAGTTTTTCAAATTAAATTTTTAAAAAATTTTTATACTCATATGTTCAAATTCTGAAGTGAAATGCTTTGTCTTTTTTTTTTTTTTTTTTTTTGCCTATCTCTATAGTTTATTTTTGGGGAGAGTTTGTGGATATACTCAACCATGGCAGGAAGTCCTACTTCTGTTCTTGTTTTACACCTGAAATTTTTTCTTGTCTTGAATGAATGCCATAATAATAGGTTTGTTATATTTTCTTTGGGGTAATTTTTTGTTTTATCTTTGTCTCAAATGTGTACAATTTTTAATTCAAATGTTGAATGATCCTTGGTTGTGTATTCATATTAGAAAAGAGAAAAGCTATGTAGAAATTGTATTTGGATGGCACTGGTTTTACTGATAAAATTTGCTGTGGAGTAAATAGCATTCTAAAGTAAGTGAAAGGCCAGAATGGGACCAACTTTTTGGGGGGACATCCATATTCATACTACCTTTCTTACTTTTCTAGACAGTTTATCTCTTTGAATATATCATTTCTCTCATTTATTTATTTACTTTACCCACAGTTAAAAATTTAACAATAGAAAAGGAAAAAACAAAAGTAGTTACTTGTATAAAAGGTAGGGAAGGGAAGTTCAGTGTTTCTTGGACAAACCTTCAACTGATTTTGATTTTTAGTATTCACACATCTGTCACAGATACCAAAGCACAAAGCACTCTTTAACTGTAGCTCCCTCAGCATACATTCTTGTGAGCTTTTCTGTCTCTTTCTTCTAGGACTATTCTTACATCTGTCTTACCCTATATAATTTGTATTGATGACTCTCTTCTTTGTTGAAAATGTACAACTCACTTCCTTCAATACACCTCTTTTTTTTTTAATCTATTTAAAGAGATATATCAGGAATAAAAGAAAAAATATGCTGTTTGACCTTTCTTCTTGCTGTGGTTTCAATATAGGTTGTTCCTATCAAATCTTTACAGGCTTGGTCCCGAGGTCAGCAATATTGGAAGCTTAGTGAGAGGGGTATGGGTCATGGAAGAAGGGCCTTGTGAATTAATTAATGCTTCTTTGTCCTTCTGCCATGAGGTATTCACCAGAGGCTGAGCAGATACTAGTACTCTTGAACTCCCCTTCCCCACTTCAGAACTGTGAGACAAAAATCTCTTTTCTTTATAAATTATCCTGTGGCAGGTATATTCTGTTATAGCAATAGAAAAAAGACTAAGATGCTAACCAAAAACTTTGTGCATCTATTTTTAAATGGCTGAAAATAGTGGGTACATGCTCTCTTCTGTCCTTTTTCTTCTTGTTTTGTTTTGCAGTGCTGGAGATTTTTTTTTTTTCTTACAAGTACAGGGCCTTGCCTATGATAAGCAAGTGCTTTACCACTGAGCTGCATTCCCATCTCTTGAGTTCTGTTTTGGTTCTCCTTTTAAACATTTTCTACATTGCTATCCTTCTTTATCATTGTTGTTTATAGTTCATTATGGACATGTTTTTAAAGAAGCAGTTTATTTTTTATTATTATAATGGTTATTATTTTATTATATTCTACCAGCACTCATACCTCCTTTACCAGGTAATTAATGTTCGCAACATTGACAGTTTATGGAATAGTAAGCTTAATTTTTTCCTTTGGTGATACTTATTGGCTAAAAGCTATGAACAAAAGCATTTTGCTTTAGAGCAGATATTGTCACCAAGAAAGCAATTTCAGTCGTTTTGGGGTATTCCAAATAAACTGTGATTTCAGCTATGTAGGTGACATGCTGTATCTCTGAAATGGCTTCATACTGTCGGCATCTCTAGTTCCTAGATAGAACTGACCCATTTCCCTCTTTAAATTCTTCCTTTTCAATTATTTTGTTCAAACTCACTTCCCAGAGGATCAAGTTTCTATGAGGGTTTATGTCTCTTTCTGATAAAATATCAACTGGAATTCAACATGGGATAATGGATGTTAGCAGCATCTAAGGACTTCTTTAGGATTACACCAGAGAACAAGAAATATGAGGGCAATCTTTACATATTAGAAAAAAAACAATTGGAATCTACTTCATATCAGTTTCCTAGACAACCTAGGTCTAACCAAGGGATCAGTTTGGCTGTTCATAGATAACAAAATAGTATTTTCTATAACTAATGCATTTATTGTTTGACTTTTTTTCTTTTTCTATTCATCAGTCAAGGCAAAGAAATAAAATATAGATTTTGGAAATAAAGAAGTTAAACTCATTATTTACTACAGGAAAAAAGTTTAACAAATATTTTGGATAAACATCAAAAATCTTATATGTACATGTATAAAAAAGGAAAGGATTTGCAAAGAGATATTATTTTCAACATTCAAAATATGAAGTACCTAGGAATAAATATATCAAGAGATATAAAACTCCCATTGGAAAAATATTATTATTGTGTGACAATAAGACCTCAATAAATATATAATATGCATAGCTTGAAAAACTCAATGTTGTGCAGATGCTGAATTGATCAATACAATCTTAATCAAATTATTAACTGTCATCCTTATGGTAAGGAAAGAAAAATACTTGACAAAAGATTTTAAATTTTTATGGAAAAGCAAAAGATCAATAGCCAAGAAGACAAATAGTATACTTTGATGTAGGGAAAGACCAATAAACTGGTGGAATCTTATTAGTGTAAGTGGAAGCTGTGGACCACAACATTGATGATGTTACTTAAAATCTTGTTAGAATATAGAGTTTCAGGACTGAACCTAAAGCAACTTAATCAGAATCCATTTTTAGCAAGATTTTCAATTATCTTGATCATTTTCTGCACATACAAAGATGTATTTAAAATAATAGATATTAATGAGTATATTTAAATAATATAAAAGTCATGACACAAACACCTGATGACAGAATCCAGGAATCTGTTTTTAACAAGGTCGCCCAGAAAAGTGGAAAAGGTAGGGCAATTAGTAATTAAATATGAAAAAAGTAATCAAGTTGGAATCATTAGTTTTATACGGTGCAACCATTTCTTTAGAAGTGGTCAATTTTTAGCAAAATGAAGGAATGTTTTAAATATTCATTTTTCCAGGTGCCACTGTTATATGTGTGCCTACGAGGTATGGTCCCTCTTGTTTATAAGCTTTCCTTAGGGACTCCAACTTCAAGATATCTTTATGTATTCCCAGAATATACATCTTTATTAATTCTTCATAGCTCAAGCCTATAAGTCATACTCTACCAATGTAGACTATTAATGTGGTGTGCCCTCTTCCTCCACTATGGCAGTAATAAAGGTTTGTCCCATTATTTTATAGGTATATTTTATGAATTTTGGGGAAAAAACTGCTGAAGATATTAAAAGAAGGAACAGTTCTAATACTGACGACTCATAAGAAAATAATATTCTTCCTGCTTAAGATTAGACAACCAGCTCATTCTTAAGAGTCTTCTGAAATAAAATTAGGTGAGAAATGTTTTTCTTAATGTTTTGAATAATTTGTACTCTACCTCCTGAGTTTCCTTGAAGGCTTCTATAATTCTATTCCTTTGGCCTCTAAGAGAATACAGTTAGCATTTTCCTTTAGGAAGTTAGTGTGCCAGCCAGCTGTCAGCCTTATGATATACCTGATCTCCAATGTCAGGGGAAGCACAATTCAATTTTAAACCAAGTTTTCTGCATGACAGTGCAGCAGGGCTGCCAGCATCTCTCTTTATGTCCCTTTCTTTGAAATTTCCCCTTCTACACACACAGTATACTTTTATTTTAAAATCCTTTGTGTGAGATGAAACCTCCACTAACTGACTTTACTTGTCTTTAGTTAAAAATCAATGAATTGAATAAAATAATCCGTATTTCTGTTATCCTTTCTCATTTCTAGAAAATAAAATACTGCTGCTTGTTTAACTTGTGACTTGTCTAAACATGTTGAAAGCATTGACTATAAGGCATAACACTCAGGCTCTGAAAGGGAACTGTGACAAGTTCAGTCAAAAGGGAAAAGAGGAATAATTTATAAAAGGCGCTGCAGATAATGATGCCAGCCAGTTATTTTAAAATGCATCCATCTCACCTTTTAATGAATTAGATTTGTCAACAGCAAATGTTTTATGCACTACTTCTAATAAAAGTGGCACACTAGGAATGCAATGCTTTGAGGTTGGCTTCTTCAAAGCTTTAGAGTATCTTCAATTCAAAGATATTTTTTAAATAATAGATATTAAAAAGTATATTTAAATAATATTAAGGTTGTGACACAAACACCAAGTGACAAAATTCAGGAGTTTCAAAGCAGAGGCTGACATGCCATCACTATTTCACATAGTTACTGCTTTTTAAATTAGGAGGATAACAGACTGATTTGGGGATTTTGTGTCAGTTTAACTTTAAATTCTCTTGTTGTTTTGGTTGGTGTCACAACCTTAATGTCAACTTTTCAAATAGGTTTCTACATTTCCTTTGGTTTGGGGTCATTAAAAAATGCATATGATAAATCTAAGAGGCATAAATAGGTCACACTGAAGTGGAATTCCTTGCTTCCCTGGAGTTAAGACACAGCTAATACCTGCATTGTAAGTGGAAAAAGTTAACTCAGGCATTTTCAGTAAATTTTTGTTTTTCAGGTATTTGATTCAAAAAAAATGTGAACCCAAACAATAAGACATGATGTTGGTATAATCCTGTTCACATTCTGTTCTTCTTACACCCTTAATCCTAATATTTTGATATCTTTCATTATTGTCTTTTTAAAAATATTAAGAATCAATATCAAAGATGAGGCAATGCTTTAAAAAGGACTCTGTGGCTGTTGTTAAAACAGAATCTGCTTGGGTACTATGATTTAGTGTGCCAAAGTAGCTAGTTCATTGAAGCTGTATTAGCCTGTCCCAGCCTTCTCCTATTCTAGGAACACTATGATTAACTGGCTACAGACTCAACAAAAATAAACAAACAAATAAATAAATAAAGACTCATAGTTCCCACAAATGATATTTCTTTTCACTAAAAGCACAAGTTTTATTTCATTTGAACAATACTTATTTGATGTAGTTGAGTACAAGTGAATTTTGCCTTATAAACTTCCAAACTTAGTTCTTCAAATAAAGCATTTTTATGCAGATTTGAGGGGTAGTAAACTCTTATTTATTTTATTATTTTTTAATTAACACTTGTCTCAGAAAGCAAAACAAAGTAAATAAAATATGATGAGTGGAAAATTAAAAAGAAATATTAGTATCACACCAGACATTAAGGAAACTTCCAAGAATATATCTAACCCTAATCTGCAAGAAGAGAATGGCAGAGAAAATGTACTTACCCAAATTGTTCCTTTTCTTTGATTCTTACCTGACGTAATCTTATGGGGCAGGTAGGTCATACATACCTGTGCTGAATCTAGCTTTAATTTAGAAAACAAAATGTAATAGAATTTGTTCCCAATTTTTTAAATTACTTGTGTTAAAAAAATAAAAAATGAAAAGGCAGGTTTGTTTGTTTTTTTGTTTTGGTGTGTGTGTGTGTGTGTGTGTGTGTGTGTGTGTGTGTGTGTTTAACCTTTTCTTGCTGACTTTTAAAGATACCCACAAAACAAAAACAGTTCATAGTTCTCAACTCCTCCCTGACTGAACCACCAAGTTTTACCCTCTCTGGGTTTTATCAATGCCTGGCATAACATTAATCTTTATTTTCTAATGTGTTCCATTCCTTCTCTGTCTTTATTTTTCAATCATTGTTGAATTTGATAAATTTCTTACAGTTTTCATTTGTTATGAAATTTTATCTTTACTTCTAGTCCTATTTTACTTTTTCTACCCCTAGTTCCTTTCTTATAATATCATTTTTAAATTGCCAAAATTCTAATATTATTATTCTTTCTAAACCCTAGTCTTCAAAAGCAAGAGGTAATTATTCTGTATCTCATAGCGATTTTAAAATATCTACAATTATCTTAAGGATTTGTTAAATCCTTCTAACCCACTTAAGCTATAGCAGTACTCTTCCTTGAACAAATTTTTAACATCATGGTTATTGTTCATACTAATCCTACATAAAAATCCAACATAAAATGAAAATTTTTAAGCAAAAATCACTATGTCTGAATTCAAAGGAAGTTATTCAAATAAGTGAATTGGAACACAGTATGTACCTGCATCATGAAAAAAATCTTCTGGCCTATAAACAAGTTATGCTTCTTAAATATCTTACACCATGCTGGCTTCATGCAAATTTATTTGAGCAGTTTCAGATTTATGTATTTAATAAAGGTGAGTAGTAGATCTAACTATTTAATATCCTTCAATGCACTGTGTTCTAGGTGACTGCTTGGAAAAGAATCAATGACATATTATTTAGTGTTTCTGCTAGATTAATCATTTCTATAAATCACTTTTCTAAGGATATAATATATGATTTCAATATTTTTCATTTATGCCAAGGTATAACATTTCTTGAGTTTTACATGACAGGGACTGTTCCAAGAACTTTCTACAGATTATCTCATGTAATCCTGATAACAATCCTTAGTGATCTTCCTCTTTTTACAGTTGGGGCAGAGGTATACAAAGAGATTACATTAACTCACTAAGTAATGGAGTTGGGATTCAAACTTAAGCAGTGTGACTCTGAGCTCTTACTACTCAAAATGTGATCCTATGCCAACAGTATGACTATCCCTTGGGAATGTGTTAGAAATGTAGAAACTTAGACCTACTGAAAAGTCTAGATTTTTAACAAATAATAATTGATACATTAAAATTGAAAAAGTGTAGCTCTAATTTACTTTACTATTGTGCCTTTATATACATCTTTTAAGTATCTTTTAAAATAAATTTCTATTTTTTTTGTATGACACTGAATTTCCATCTTTGTGCTGATTTGGAGATTCCTGTCATATTTCAAGTGCATTATCATGGGATCTATAAAATAGCTAAATATAAGCAGGAATGAGGTAGACCCAAATTATCTTGAAAGCAGTTGAATGAAGAGCACGTTAAAATAATCCCACAACATAAATAACAAGCCTGTCATTCTCCAGGGGCAGATATTTGTTTCAAAAAAGACTTTCTTAAAGTCACAGTAGAGCATTTTATCTTTGAGTGCAGACTCTAGAGATAGGCTGCCTGCCTACCTCCTAATTCCAACTGTTGGATCTCAGTAGAGTTTCGTAACTCTCCATACTTCAGCTTTCTCATCTGGAAAATGAGGTCTAAAACCATACATTACAGGATTATAAGGATCCATGAGTTAGGGCATATAAAGGATTCACTTACCTTTTGTGAGATAGGTGAATAAACATTAACTACTGCTGTTCTTAGCCATGATTCCATCTTGAGTAGAATGAATCCATACTTCATACTTCTTTGTTATCTTTTGATAATCTTTTTGGTAATAAAAAACCATAACATAAATAGATATATTTGCTATTAGAGTTCATATCATAAACCAGTTTTTGTGTTTTCTGAAAACTTCTCCCTATGGCACTTTCTGCCTGTAAGTTCTGCTAATGCCACTAGATTATGATGCTTAACAAGTCCAATGCAAATAAAAACAAATTATGATAAAATGCATTACATCTTAAATATATGTGCTTCTGACTGAATAAAGACGATGAGATGTGAGTCCAGTTGGCCAACATCTTACATGAGTAATATAAAAAAATTAGATGGATAAAGAATGTTTGTTTACAGGTTGAGCTGAGGTTGTAGCTTTGTGAGAGAGTGCTTGCCTAGCATCTGTGAGGCACTGAGTTCAATCCTCAGTCCCATGTAAAAATAAATAAATAAAACAAAGGTATTGTGTCCATCTACAATTAAAAAACAATTTTTTTTAAAAAATAAGGTTAGATGTTCTCGAAGCTGGTTTTGTCTTTCTGGGTGAGCATAATATTGAAATAATCACAATAGTATTCAAGGGAATGATGGTCTGGTATATAAGTACTCACCTAACAACTATATATATATATTCAGAAATATATATAATGTGTGAAGTAAGAGTGCATAGAAAGTACTGCTTTGAAAGCTTATTTATAAAAGACATTGAAATAAAAACGGTTGATGAAAAGCATGCCCTGGAAAACCTTAAAATTTCCAATTTGGGTGCCTATAATGAAACTTTAATTTATTCCATTTTTGGTGGCCCAGGTACTTGAATTTTTAGCTAGGGTCTATAGTAATGTGTCTTAAATTTGTTTCGTACAGTATTTTGAGAAACTCCAATGGAAATGAAGACATGAATTGAAAAGGTTTTTTTTTTTTTTTTTTGGCTTGGTGTAGTGGTGCATGCCTACAATTCCAACAATTCAAGAAGCTGAGGCAAGAGGATCACAAGTTTGAGGCCACTCTCAGCAATTTAGCAAGACCCTATCTCAAAAAAATAGAAAAAGACTAGGTATTTAGCTCAATGGAGAGCACCCCTGTATTCAGTCCTTAATACCACAATAAATCAGTTAATCAGTAGAAAAATTAGAA